TTGTGGAGCATGGGCTCTAGGCACGAGGGCTTCAGCAGCTGTGGCATGTGGGCTCAGTAGTTGTGGCTTGCGGGCTCTAGAGCACAGGCTCAGTAGTTGTGGCACACAGGCTTAGTTGCTCCACGGCATGTGGGATCTTCCTGGACTAGGGCTCGAACTCGTGTCCCCTGCCTTGACAGGCGGATTCTTAACCAGTGCGCCACCAGGGAAGTCCCATAATACAGTTTTTAAATGGGCAAAGAACCTGAAGACATTGTCCAAAGAAGACATATAAACAGTTAATAAGCACATGAAAAGAAGCTCAACATCATTAGTTCCCAGGAAAATTCAAATCAAAACCACAGTGACCAAGATTGGCCAAGATGGCAGAGTAGGAAGACTCTGAGCTCACTTCTTCTCACAAGCACACCAAAATCACAACTATTTGCAGAACAACAATTGATGAAAAAGTCTGGTACCTACCAGAAAAGATCTTCTACAACTAAAGACATAAAGAAAGAGCCACAAGACAGGTAGAAGGGGCAGACTTGAAATATAGCTAAGTTCCATAACCCCAGGTGGGTGACCCACAAATTGGAGAATAATTATATTGCAGAGGTTCTCCCACAAGAGTGACAGTCATGAGCGCCACGTCAGGCTCCCCAGCCTGGGGGTCTGGCACCAGGAAGACAAGGCCCCAGGGCATTTGGCCTTGAAGGCCAGTGGGACTTAATTTCAGGAGTCCCACAGGACTGGGAGAAATAGAGACTTCACTCTTAAATGGCACACACAAAATCTCACATGTTCTGGAACCCAGGGAAAAAGCAGTAATTTGATAGGAGCCTGGGCCAGACCTACCTGCTGGTCTTGCAGAGTCTCTCAGAGAGGTGAGGGGTGGCTGCACTCACCCTGGGTGCACAGACACTGGTGGCAGCGATTCTTGGGAGTTCCTTCTACCACATGGATGCTGATACTGGCAAACACCATTGTGGAATCCTCCCTCTAGCTCATTAGCACCAAGACCTGGCCCCACCCAACCCAACAGCCTTTAGGTGCCAGTGCTGGGACAAATCAGGCCAAGCAAGTAATTGGGTGGGATACAGCACCACCCATCAGCAGACAGACTGCCTAAAGACCTCCACATCTGCCTCTGGACACAGCCGTGCCCAATAGAGGTCCCAGGGCCCATTTCCACCCACCAGTGAGCAAGCACCAGCCCCAGAATCCTCTGGGCCTTGCCTCCTCTAGCCTCTGGACCAGGCTGACCCAATGTGGGCAGACACCAGATGCAAGAAAACCACAATCCCACAGCCTACAAACCTATTCTGTCCAGACCAGGCCAGACCCTGCCCTGGGACCAGCTGGGCCCTGGCCCTGCCCATTAACAGGCCAACACAAGCTTCAGGACACCCCAGACTCTGTACCCAACTGTGTCAGGATCTGCTCCCCTTCCCTGCCTCACCCCCAGCCATGTTATATCAGCTCTGGGATGTCTGGGCCCTGCAACCAGACTCCAGGACCCGGCTCTTGATGTCAGTAGTCCAGCACTAACCCTAGGACCCAGCTTCAACCACCAGTGGGTGGGTATCCCATAGATTTTGTAAGGTTGTGTTTTCATTTTCATTTGTCTTGAGGCATTTCCTCATTTCTTCTTTGATTTCATTGTTGACCCACTGGTTTCTTAGTAGCATGTTGTTTAGTCTCCATGTGTTCATTCTTTTCCTGTTTTTATTTCTGTGGTTGATTTCTGGTTTCATACTGTTGTGGTCAGATAAGATGTTTCAAATAATTTCTATCCTTTTAAATTTGTTGAGGTTTTTTTTTATGACCTAGTATGTGGTCTATCCTAGAGAACATTCCACGTGCCCTTGAAAAGAATCTGTATTCTGGCTTTTTTGGAAGTAGTGTTCTGTAGATATCAATTAAGTCCTACTGATCTACTGTGTCATTTAGAACCTCTGTTGCCTTACCGATTTTTTGTCTGGATGATCTATCCATTGATGTCAATGGGGCGTTAAGGTCTACTATTATTGTATTATTGTCAGTTTCTCCTTTGTATCTGTTAGTATTTTCAAAGAACTTATACCTACCCGTCTCAAACTATTCCAAAAAATTGAAGAGGGAACACTCCCAAATTCATTCTGAAGCCACCATCACCCTGATACCAAAACCAGACAAAAACACTACAAAAAATGAAAACCACAGGCCAATATCTTTGATGAATATAGATGCAAAAATCTTCAAAACAAGATATTAGCAAACAAAATCCAACAATATGTAAAAAGGATAATACACCATGATCAAGCTGTAATCATTCCAGGGTAGCAAGGACAGCTCAATATATGCAATCAATCAATGTGACGATACACCACGTTAACAAAAGGAAAGACAAAAACCACATGATCATCTCAATAGACAGAAAAAGCATTTGACAAAATTCAACACCCATTCTTGATAAAAACTGTCACAGAAGTGGGTATAGGGGGAACATATTTCAACATAATAAAAGCCATTTATGACAAACCCACAGCCAACATAATACTGAACAGTGAAAAGCTGAACGCCTTCCCACTAAATTTAGGAACAAGACAAGGATGCCCAGTTTCACCACTTCTACTCAACATAGTATTGGAAGTCCTAGCCCCAACAATCAGATAAGAAAAAGAAATGAAAGGTATCCAAATTGGAAGGGAAGAGGTAAAATTGTCACTATTTGGAGATGACGTGATACTCTATATAGAGAACCCTAAAGTCTCCACACAAAAATTATGAGAATAAATGAATTCAGCAAGGTAGTAGGATACAATATTAATATACAGAAATTTGTTGCATTTCTTTACACTAACAATGAAATTTCAGAAAGTAAAAAAAAAATCCTGTTTAAAACTGCATCAAAAAAAATACCTAGGAATAAACTTAATCAAGGCAGTAAACACCTATATGCTGAAGACTATAAAACTTTGATAAAGAAACTGAAGATGATTCAAAGAAATGAAAAGATATCCCATGCACTTGGATTGGAAGAATTAACATTTTTAAAATGGCCATACTACTCAAATCAATCTACAGATTTAATGCAATCCTTATCAAAATACCCATGACATTTTTCACAGAACTAAAACAAATAATCCTAAAATGTATATGGAACAACAAAAGGCCCAGAATTATCAAAGCAATCCTGAGGGAAAAGAACAAAGCAGGAGGCATAACCCTCCAGACTTCAGACTATACTACAAAGTTACAGTAATCGAAACAGTGTGCTGTTGGTACAAAAACAGACATACAGTTCAGTGGAACAGAACAGACAGCCCAGAAATAAACCCACAAACCTATGATCAATTAATCTTTGACAAAACAGGCAAGAATATACAATGGAGAAAAGACAGTCTCTCTCGAAGACTTGTTGATGTGGTATTGGGAAAGCTGGACAGCTACTTGTAAATCAATGAAATTACAACACTCTCTCACACCACACACAAAAATAAACTCAAAATGGTTTAAAGACCTAAATATAAGATTTGACACCATAAAACTCCTAGAAGAGAACATAGGCAAAACATTCTCTGACATAAATTGTAGCAGTATTTTCTTAGATCAGCCTCCCAAGGCAATAGAAATAAAAACAAAAATAAACAAATGGGACCTAATCAAACTTACAAGCTTTTGCACAGCAAGGGAAACCATTAAAAAAAATGAAAAGACAACCTAAGGAATGGGAGAAAATATTTGCAAACAATGCAACCAACAAGGACTTAATTTCCAAAATATACAAACAGCTCATACAATTTAACAACAAAAAAACAAACAACCCAATCAAAAAACTGGCAGAAGACCTTAACAGACATTTCTCCAAAGAAGACATACAGATGGCCAGTAGGCACATGAAAAGATGATCAATGTTGCTAATTATTACAGAAATGCAAATCAAAACCACAATGAAGCATCACCTCACACTGGTCAGAATGGCTGTCATCAAAAAGTCTACACATAATAAATGCTAGAGAGGGTGTGGAGATGTTCCTCTATTTTTGCCATATTACATTCTTAGAACCATATCCCTGACAGACAAATCAAGAGTCATGCACACTAACGATTTTGGTCATATACCTGAAATAATTCTCTTTGCCACTAGATGGAGATTTAGTTAATGCTGTGTTGAGAAGCTGGCAGAAAAAAGGTTGGCTGTTAGCTACCAACAAGAATTACTAAATAAGGAAGCAAAGTAAGAAGGGAAATACGGATGTGGTTACAAACATGTCCACCTTTGAACTGGCAAAGGAAAAATATCTAATTAAAAGGAGAGAGCAAACCATATACACATTAAGATGCTACTATAAGAATTACAGTAGAAGTTCAGAACAGGAGAAATAAGTAAAAAATAGGAGACATTTTAAAATACCTTATTAACTGTCACAGTCTTGAAGAACTAATTGGTATCATATAGTAATCTTAAATATACTCCTTATCTTGACGTCCAGAGTTTGGATGGAGTATTACTGTTTTTCTTCTCTGCCCCTAGTTTATTATAGCATTTTACCCAGAAGCTACTATGGTTATTCAAGCTATTCTTATCTTAGTTCTTGTGGGTACCAAAGGCTAAATGGGTCTAAGAAACACATGTTTTCAGATAATAAACATCCAATTTTCTCTCTATTTTCTAAGGTTATTTTATACTCTTACTTTTCTTCTACTGAAGCACAGATGTATCTAAAACTCAGGGTATAAAGTTTATACTCAATTTATCCAGAAATCAATCAAGTCCAAGCCCAAATGCCTTTAGCCTTATTTAACAATAACAACAAAAACAAGAATCTTTTAGTGTACAAGAGAATGCACATGCCAAGCCATTGTAAAGGCTTTACAGAATCTACTTTAAAGTTGTAAGAAGTTAGGCTATTTGGTCATATTAAAGTCTAATAAAAAGGAACTGAAACGTCTTCTACTTCTAACTCAGAAAATCAAAATTTTTCACTTTCAAAAATATTTGGTTGAGGTGTTTAGAAGAATCCTTCCTTTCTTACCTATAAGACTGTACTTTAGTCCCGTGGTCTTGAAATTCCAGTGCTTTCTTAACAACAGCTTCATTTTCTTCTGGATAAACTGAATATGTGCAGTAAACAACTGCTTGAGCTCTAGTAACTACATTTAAAGAAGATGGAATTAATACAATGACCCCAGTAACAATCCTAAACAAATCTGTTATGTTTTCAAACGTCTGTCTGTACTAATACCACATGGTTTTGATAGGAATTATTTCTACAGATGCTTGCATGGCTCCCCTTTAAAGCATGTATTAGTAATGTAGTCTGTGGCCAATAAATAAAATAAATCTAACTGGATTGTATGGAAATCTAATCAAATGTGACCAACCTAATTACAAACACAAACAAATAAATACTGCAGATTACCATAAGCTTGACACTCCCAGCTATTCTTCCACAAGCCATATCACGTAACTAGTTAAAAGGACTCTAGAAACAGACAGACTTAGATGTGAATCCCAATTCTGTAACTTACTGCTGTATGAACCTGGGAAAATTACTTAACTCTCCAATTCTTCAACTGTAAAATGAGGTAATCTTACTACCTGCAACTCACTCACTTATTCACACTTACTGAGCACCTACTATGTGCTAGGCAGTGTTCTCACCATTCAATATACACACACAAAAATCCCTGCCCCGGGGAGCTTATTTTCTATGTTTCATTGACATAAGACAAATAAATAAGAAAATTAGGGAATTCCCTGGTGGTCCAGTGGTTAGGACTCAGCGCTCTCACTGCCAGAGGCCCAGGTTCGATCCCTGGTTGGGGAACTAAGATCCTGCAAGCCAAGCAGTGGCACAGCCCAAGTAAAAAAAAAATACACACACACACACACACACACACACACACACATATATATAGCATCAGGAAGTGACAAATGCTATAGAGCAAATCAAAGCAGATACAGAGGACAGTTAGTTTCAAAAGATTATCCTGCAATTTTAAATAATCAGAGAAAGAAGTTTAAAAATGCATTATTTATCAACTTCCTCATCTTCCAATCAACTCATTTCATAGATCATATACATACTATCATATTCAAATAAATATTTTTAATAACATCAATTAAAGGGGCAGAACTCCTCTGTGTTTTCTATTTTGCCTTATTTCTACTTCACATATGTTATATCTTCATATATTAAATCATCTATACCCTATACTTACCTTTGAGCCTTTGGAGGTCAGGATTTATCCACACTCATATCCCTAACAACCAGCTTAATATCTGACCCAGAGTAGGCATTTGATAAACATGCACTGAATTAATTAAAGTTTATATAATTTCTCAGAGACGTCTAGATTTCCATATCTATGTGTGGAAGGGCATTGGTACTCAACATCTAAATGGTACTCAAAATGTAAATGCAGTGATTGAAGCAATAATATAAATACTTAAAGAGCCTTGTTACTCAGACTTAAAGAGATCTAGGCTTTATCTGTAATTGCATCTCTCTGTTCTCTTTTTAGTACTAAGAGAAGTAAGAGTTTGATTAAAATTGGGATTATAGAAGAGTTAGGGGCAGGCACAATGACAACGGAAAAATTACATCGAGTAAGAAGCCAAAGAAAAGAAATAAAGAAGATGAAACTGTACAACAATGGATGGATGTAATTATTTTACTTCAGCATTAAAGAAAACTGTAAATTATTCTTGCTAACCTATGTTTAAAATGATAGTAAAGCATATATTTTTGAGAATTAAATTGGTAAAAATAAATATTTTGTTATTTGAAGGAACTGAGTGTTCTGAAAAATTCACTTATGGTTCACACATGATTGCCTGAATATAATAGATAAATGAAGTATTAATGTTTCTAAGATTTACAACATATTTTCATATTACACTGATAACAAACTTACATTTCATTGCATGTGTTAGCTGTTCATATTGCTGTTGAGCAAGAACATGAAGTTTATCTTCTGACGGGCCTCCTTGAGAGAAATCTTTAAGTAAACCTGTATCTAAAAGGAAATAAATGCTTTTAAATATATCACTATTAGATGTTTTTCATATATTGCTATTATCACATTATTTAATATTTTAATCATTTTCCCTATTAATGACAGTTTTCATGGAAAATATTTATCAAAAATAAATAGGCAGGGGACTTCCCTGGTGGCGCAGTGGTTAAGAATCCACCTGCCAATGCGGGGGACACGGGTTCAAGCCCTGGTCTGGGAAGATCCCATATGCCGCGGAGCAACTAAGCCCATGCACCACAACTACTGAGCCTGTGCCCTGGAACCCGTGAGCCACAACTACTGAAGCCTGCCTGCATGCCACAACTACTGAAGCCTACGTGCCTAGAGCCCATGCTCCGCAACAAGAGAAGCCACTGCAATGAGGAGCCCATGCATCACAATGAAGAACAGCCCCCGCTCGTTGCAACTGGAGAAAGCCCACACACAGCAACGAAGACCCAACCAAAAATAAATGAATAAAAATAAATAAATTTTTTAAAATAAATAAATAGGCAGTATTATAAAAATACTGACTTAAAAACTGAATTGATAAAGGTAATTTTGCTTAGTTTTAATATTATTTTTCCTTTTTTCTCCAAGTTCTTATGATATAGTCACCCAACCAGCCAAAATAAGTCATTTAGGTATAAAAAACAGAATACAGTCAGTCTGGGTACTAATAGAGGAAAAAAAGATTTATTTTCCAAGGTAGAAACTGATGGGCTATAGTCAGATCTGAGTAAGAAAGAACACAAAGGGATACAGTTAAAAACATTAACTTACTGAAAGAAATTTTGGAAGAAAAAACTAGAGGGGCCATGTGCAGCAACGAAGACCCAATGCAGCCAAAAATAAATAAATAAAATTAATAAAAAGAAAGAAAGAAAGGAAGAAATTCTTATAGTAATTCTTTACATTTCTGAAACTATATATATATATATATATATATTTTTTTTTTTTTTTTTTGCGGTATGCGGGCCTCTCACTGTTGTGGCCTCTCCCGTTGCGGAGCACAGGCTCTGGACGCACAGGCTCAGCGGCCATGGCTCACAGGCCTAGCCGCTCCGCGGCATGTGGGATTTTCCCGGACCAGGGCACGAACCTGTGTCCCCTGCATCGGCAGGTGGACTCTCAACCACTGCAACACCAGGGAAGCCCCTGAAACTATTTTTAACATATTTCTTGATAATATTAACTAAGATACATTGAATACTACTCTAAATAGATTATTTTATTCAACAACCCTTGAAGCATTATTATTCCTTTTAACATTGAAAAAACTGTTCAAGCATACATTAAACAACTTGTCTAAGGTCACATGGCTACTAGTTGAGAGCCAGGTTCTAGCTTGGCAATATGACCAACCTTCTAACCCCTGTTTTATTCTGCCTCTCAGTAACTCCCTGCAGTATGAAAGCCAACTATTTATACCATATATTTGGCTATTCCCCACTCCAGTAATATCACTAAAGGTTAATTAAACTCCATTTTTTCCCAATTTAGTTTTACACTTTACATTTTTCTCTTTCATCACTTTTTAAAGGACTATTTACCCATTATTATACTCTAAAACCATACCAGCTTACCTTTTCACCCTATTTTAAAATAATTCCAAGTTGTTAGCAGAGATCGACTTCATACATTCCTCAAATATGATAATGTTTATGATAAACATTCTAAAATTGGTTGTAATGTTTTCCAATGTTAAATTGTTTTTCAAACTAATTCATGATTTCTCACGAATCTAAGTCTTTTGAATTCATCCCCACTAAATTTATGACTAATATTTCTACCATAATCACTAGGTCAGCAGTTCCTTATTTGCTCTGGCTATTACCTCATCAAAGTACAGTTTCCTTCAAAACCCTCCTTTTTTCCAGGTTTGCCAAAGACCACTTCTTGGCTTATCCGGTCACCTCTTCAAGGATTTCAAAATATTACCAATATCTAGGAAACTTTTTACTTTCCCTCTTTTTGTCATTTGTAGTTACCTTTGTGCTTCACCCACACCCCAGCCTCTAAATGATTTTTACCTAAGGTTTATTTTGTTCTGCATTCCCACTTCAAGATGACCCAGGATAAGGCCAGAGTCTCACAGTAGTTCTAAGTTCTAGTTCTCTTAACTGGAATGCTTATTGTAGCTGCAGCTATTTCATCCCCTCTTCTTTCAAAATCTAATTCTTCTTTGATCACTTCCCAAAGTTAGTATGGGAATTTTCTAAGTCCACCATACTCCCATCTGAGTTGGTTAGTCTTGGAAAGAAATTTTCTGTAGCAAGACAGAATTCCACATAGTTCAGTATAAGTCCAGTTAAAAATTGTGTGGTATAGTGCAGGGGTCCCCAACCCCCAGCCACGGACCAGTAGTGGTCCGTGGCCTGTTAGGAACTGGGCCACACAGCAGGAGGTGAGCAGTGGGCGAGAGAGTGAAGCTTCATCTGTATTTACAGCCTCTCCCCATCACTCACATTACCGCCTGAGCTCCACCTCCCGTCAGATCAGGGGCAGCATTAGATTCTCATAGGAATGTGAACCCTACTGTGAACTGCACATGCAAGGGATTTAGGTTGCGTGGTCCTTAAGAGAATCTAATGCCTGATGATCTAAGGTGGAGCTGAGGCAGTGATGCTAGCGCTGGGGAGCGGCTGCAAATACAGATTATCATTAGCAGAGAGGTTTGACTGCACAGAGACCATAATAAATCAATTGCTTGCAGACTCATATCAAATCCCTATCAGTTATACAGATTGCCAACAAACACATGAAAGAATGCTCAACATCATTAATCATTAGAGAAATGCAAATCAAAACTACAATGCGATATCATCTCACACAGGTCAGAATGGCCATCATC